GGGCTCAGAGAATGCTGCAGCGCTACTTAGTGCGAGACGGCCACCTTTTCGTGAGAAGAGAAGTGGGGAATCCCAGGAGAGTCGTCTGCGGTAGGAATCGTCAGATCGACGTTGTGGCAGCGCTTCACGATGGCATTGCAGGAGGGCATCGAGGGGTACAAGCCACGTATGCCAAGATAAGTGGGTTGTACTACTGGGATGGGATGATGGAAATGGTCGGGAAGTTTTGCCGATCTTGTGTACCTTGCCAGAAGAGATCCCGTTTAAGGCAAGGAGAACCGCTGCATCCAAGGCTAGAGCGAGAGGTGGGGGCTGTAGTGCATCTCGATTTACTTTTCATACCGCTTGGGGATCAGGGCTATAACTATATCTTCGATGCGCGCGATAACCTGTCTGGGTTCGTAGACGGGCGTGCTATTCGCACAAAGACAGTCCTGGTGAGCTACATCGAGGAGTATTATCTGCGCTATCCTTTCGTCAGGGAATTCGTAATGGATAGGGGATCGGAGTTTACCTGCCAGGAGGTGCAAGAATTGTTATCAAGGTATGGTGTAGCAGCCAACTACACCACGGCCGCGCACCCCCAGGCAAATGCTCCCGTGGAGAGAGGACATAGTACCATTACGAGTCTCCTGGCTAAGTGGACCGAAGGTAGACCTAATCAATGGCCAAGATACCAAAGGGCGGCATTCTTTGTTGAGAACATTACAGTAAAAGGATCCACCAAGTACGCACCTGCGACGCTGTGGTATGGAAGGCACGCCACATTCCCTATTGAAAGCTTTCTTAAGACATGAAGGCGTCAGGATCTAGAAATTAGCCTGTCATTTGAAGAGTTGCTCGAGATTCGGGCGCGGCAGATAGGGACGATAGAAGAAAGGATCCAGGAGGCGTCTGATCAGGTGGCGAGAAGCCGTACGGATGATAAGGCTCGATGAGATCAGTCTGCGCGGGTGAGGAAAGTACCTCTGGCAGTTGGGGACGTCGTGCTTCTCTACGATTCATCGCTGGAAAAGCAGTGGTCCAGGAAACTTGATAAGAGGTGGTTAGGTCCCTA